TATTATTATTATTATTATTATTATTATTACTGTTATTATTACTGTTATTACTATTATTGTTATTATTATTGTTGTTATTATTATTATTGTTATTATTATTGTTATTATCATTACTGTTATTATTATGCAGGCACAGGGCCAGGTATTCTTATGAATGTAGCTACTTCCGGGTACGACGATCCCCTTCCCCTTCTTCCCTCTCGTTCCCCCTTGTCTTTTCTTTTAAAAGGACTTTCCCGTCCATATCTTTTGCAAAAGTAGGCTCCATTCGCAACAAGGAATGTCTAGCCTCGGTCTACGCATCTGTTTTGTTGTCTCCACATCGATGAAGCTTTTCCACCACCTTACCAACAGGGATTGTTCGGTCCATGTTTTTGCGAGAAAGGGCTCCGTTCGCGACAAGAAATGCCTCATTTACTCGGCTTTTATATGCTTTTTTTAACCCCTATACATTGGATTGTCCGGACGATTTGCAATTATACTGTTGTGCTGAGCTTCTGTGTTCATGCAATAATTGCCAACTATTTGTAGCTGCTAAAGAATAGCAGGAATCGAAGTTGCCCAAAGTGGTCATTTGTATGAGAGATCTCCGGTCATCCTTGTCACTGGCGTGCCAGCATACAACAGCACGTTTTCGCAGATAGTGCTGCAGGATGTTTCGCTCGAGCACTGCCGTCATCTGTATGTTCATCAAGCCTTTGATTTGGATTTCAACTAGAGGAACATCTTTTATCATTTCGCTCAAGGAAAATATCACATCTTTTGGAGCTTTCCCCTCCTCCCCCATCCCCGCCACCTCACGCTCCCCTCCCTTCTGAACCCTAAGCTTTTTTTTTTTTTTTTAAAGTGAAATATCCCTACACAACAAGTATCATTGTACGTTCCATCTTGTTAGTACTCCTTGCGTAAGTATAAGGTAGTACAAGAATTTCGGGTCATCCGAATCCTGTTCATGAAAAGCCTAACCTGTAGAAGGGGTTCTTTTTCTTGAATAGGAAAAGTATGTTTCGTAAAAATCACTTTATTTTTTAAGCGAAAGGATGCTTCTCGTAAAAAAGTTCTAGTATTTACAAGAACCAGTAGAGCACCTCTTTTTTATAAGGGAGAAGGTGAATTTCTTAAAAAGATCGGTTTTTCAGGCACGGGGAATGGGGAAGGGGGATGGATTTTTGCAAAAATCCAAACGTATTCGAGCATTCCGATTTCGCAAGCGTGTCCGTTAGCTTAAGTTAACATGTGCTTGACAGTGCATTTTAAAATATTACTTATTGGGCTTAAACAGAATTATAAACGGTATTTCAATTGTGTATTTAGGATTAGAGAACAAATGTGGGTAGAAACGATGAAAAGCTTGTAAGGAATTATTGAAGTAGGTAAAAAATGTTTCGGTCCATTAAGTCGTATACATTTCTTACCGTTACCACAACTGGACCTCGTCAGTGCGACGACTGTGGTAAAAGAGTTTTGAAAGATAATTAAGTAAGGTGGGGAACTTAATGTGTCTGCAAAAGTAAATATTGTGCGCGTGGTTTTACTTAAAGTATTTTGTCCGGGCAATTACACCAGCTACTTCTCAAAAAGCTACTTAAATGTTACTCTCTGTGCAGGTAAAATTAAATGTGTGAAAACTTTAGTAGTGTTTGGAAAGCCACCATGTTCGCTGTTCCGTACATCGGCTGTATGTTCGCGGAAACTCGATGAATTGAAGGGTAAATTATTCCGTGGTGCACAGTCCCGAAAAAACAATTTTCGTCTGGATGACATGATTGAAGAGGTTATTGTTTCTCAATTTATCACAGGCAAATTAATTTGTTACTGTGTAATTGAGAGTATGTTCTATTATTTTCTTTTAGCAGAATTTTGGATGAGCAGTGGATAATTCTTCAGCGATGGATGAGCCCGTTTCTTTACCCCGTTTTGTTGAATGAGCCGGCTTTTCCACTGTAGAGCCCCCTGCCCCGCCCCGCCTCGGTGAATGATCCCGCTGCTCTGGCGACGGATGAGCTTTCATCTTTTAGAGTAATTTTCTTAACCTCAGCGATTGGATGATGTTGTTTCGTTTCAGAGTCGTGCATTACAAGAATTTGGCTTGGTTCGCGATCATCTGCAGGATTTACCAAGAAAAGAGCTTTTTCCGAAAAGGGCTGTGTATTCTCTGGATGATGTATACCAGAAAGCATTGCAGGTAACTGCGCTATCTGAGCTTATTACACAAAAATACGCTGATTTTTTGCAATGAGTTTCTTGGTTTGTCGTCATTGCAAGCAGATACGCTGCTTTTACGGCTTGATAGTACTAGAAAGGCGCCTGTTTTTGTGGATCTTTGAGTAATTTTAATCAATATTTTTTTTTTAAAAAACATCCTATTTTTTCAAGGTGCACGGCAGTGAGCGAGCAATACAGCAGCGGATGCGTTTGTTCCAGAAATATTTGTATCAAAATCCCATATACGATGGACGGCAGAGGAAAAAAGAGCCTGCACTAGCGACCAGTCAGGTGAGATCGCTTTTAAATGTGGCCTATCGAATGGTGTTGGCGGTGTTTTTTGTTAACTTTTTCCCGCCAAAAAATCTCATGAGGCCGCACGTGGGAACCAAGTACATCTGGAGACTAAATTTGAATCTTCAGGTCGTATTTGGGCTGGGAACATCCCCTTTTCAGCCTCCTAGCTTTTTTGGTTCCCGAGTTAGCGATTTTTTCGCAGGGCACAAAAACTTTGCTCGTGACTTTACCCCTTTGCCGAACCCGCCTACTATCCATGCCCATTTGCCTTGTCTGTGTTTACAGCTAAGGGATGAAACAGGCTGCTTACTCGCATCCCCATCTACAACAAGCAAAAACTCCACCCTCGCTGATCTTTATTTCTGCCTCGCTACTTTTTGTATCATTTGTATCAATAGCTTCTGAAAAATGCAGAATAGCAAGTGGTTTTTTTTTCAGGATGCCAGCAAAGCTGTGAAGTTTGCACTTGGAACAAATTTTCTTGACGTCTGTTTCAAGTTATATGGGTCACTGATCACTGGTCAGTTCTCTTATTTGTTGTCTTTATGGAGGCTAGCAAATCATATTTTAATTCTTGTGATTTAAAAAAAAACCGAATTTTTAAAAAACGATTAATTTTTTGAATTTTTCGTTGCTGTGTATGTGTGTTGGTAACCGAATTTGCATGATCGGTCAATAGGGTTCAGGCGCAGATGAATATGCCTAACAAAGGAATTTTCATATTTTGAGTACTCATTAAAGTCTTGTATTTTAGGGTCAAAAAGCTTAGCAGCTGAAGGGTTGCACAGTTCGCTGGATTTAACCAATCAAATAATCCTAATTTATGGAATCCGATGGTCCAGGTTAAATCCAACGCCAGCTTTTCCATACGGTTATGGTAATGCACGATACATTGCTTCGCTGATCAGCGGTTGTTGGCTTTTTGGCTTCGGTGGTGGAATTTCGTTGTATCACGGTATCACTGGTTTGCTACATCCTCATGCTATCGAATCACCAAAATGGGCAAGCTTCTTGTAGTTGTGTAAATTTTTTTATAAAAATATTAAATTGCGCTATAGAAGTTTTTGGTTGAACATTGTTCTGTTCACACAATAGGAACATGTCCTACACTCACTTTTAGCAGCGGCGACCTGTTTTATGAAGTAATTCCCGCGCTTACCCGCAGTTATGATTGCGTAAGTGTTTACAGCTTAGGGATGAAACACAGACTGTTCTACACTTGGTTCGTCGGTAATGCTTTTCTCTCTGATCCAGTACCTCAGTTTTTGTTTTGTGATGATTCAGCATGCACTGATTGTGGAATGGTTTAGGAAAATCGCTGCATAGTAAATTATTGTCATTTTTTTAAAACTTTTTTTGTTGTATTATCAGTAAAGGTTAAACTGTCACCTATTTTTGACTGGATTAGCGAACTTCGAGTTTTTCATCTATAAACTAGTAATCTATAAATCGTAGATTCTCATAAATCATCCTGTCAACTTCAGTCATTTTAGACTAGTCTTAATTAAAGCCATCTATGACGAAACTGATTACCGTATGCTTTGTATTTAAATATGCCAAAGTTAAAACCTCTTCAATATCTGGTATATATAATAGGCGGTAACACGAAGGGACTAGCTCGAGTGGTAGCAAATGCCAACAGCAACCACCAGCTGACAGCGCTGTCGATGGTTCCCTCTTTCGAAGGTGGTTTAAAAACAATGGCAACGCGCACCAGACTAGCCAGTGCGATCATGCGTTTTGTGCAATTCAGCCCATCGAACGA